ACAAATACACTAAAATGAAATTTAGTGCACAGAAACAGAATATAATACCCATTTTTTGGGGTACAAAATAAAAGATGGGGTCACTTCAGTTACAAAGACACCAAACATGTCAAGCCTTTTAATTATGTGCACCTGTGAAACAGCAAAAACTACAATACCCAAAATGTCCCATAGGCGACGCTTTAAAAGCTTTTCCTGCTCATCAGTTTAATGTTAACAGTGATTGATGGCCCTACGCGCGTTACGTCCAGCATAACTTCATCAGGGGGTCTGGACGTCACGCGTGTAGGGCTGAGCTTCTGAAGTCACTACAGCTGAATTTGCTGGGATCAGTGTCATTGCATCTCCTCGCTTATACTACTACTACTACTACTACTAATAATAATAATAATGTGTTCTGCATTGGATCCAGTAACCCAATGTGTTATGCATTGGATCCAGTATTCCAATGTGTCCTTAATTGGATCCAAATAGCCAGTGTGTTTTGCATTGGATCCAGTAAGCCAATGTGTCCTGTATTGGATCCAGTAATCCAATGTGTTCTGAATTGGATCCCATAATATTCCAATGTGTTCTGAATTGGATCCAATAATATTCCAATGTGTTCTGAATCGGATCCAATAATATTCAAATGTGTTCTGAATTGGATCCAATAATATTCCAGTGTGTTCTGAATTGGATCCAATATTCCAGTGTGTTCTATATTGGATTATTTACCAATATAACATCAAACCTGGTACTGGTTGCACTGGTGAACAGATTCTGAGAATGTATATACCAGAATGTGTGGGGTTTTTTCAAAAATATTTCATTAAAGTTTTATCATTTTACACAAACGTCATCACTTCAAAACAAAACATCATATATGTGATATGATGCAGGTCATTCTTTTACATCTCACGTATTGCATGAAAGATCCCTTTATTCGCAACATCTCTGATATTGTACAAGAGTACCGTAAATCACTATTATTCAAGTTTCCATAAATCGCTCCCCCTGAGGAACGTTAAATCCAAATCTACCCGCATGACCCCCAAGGCATTCGACAGCTCGTTTTTCAGGTACCATTTAGTATAGCAGAATGGTTTGACGATTTGTTGAATCTCCGGTACTGAGAAGGATTTGCTAAGGAAATGCCTCCATCTGGATAAGAAATGAGTAGTACGAGTATCTTTGTGTCCAGTCGCTCTACACAAAAGAGACGTTGCAACTCTTTGGTAACATCTTGGATTGTTGGTGCCGTTGAGTTCCATTGTCTCATTATGCATCTTCTCGCGGTAAGGAGACTTGTGTTTTTAATGTAGACATAAAAAATGCAAATGACTAAATAAGCGGATGCTAGACTTTTGGAGTTTTGGATTGGACCCAGTGATCCAATGTGTTCTGCATTGGACCCAGTAATCCAATGTGTTCTGCATTGGACCCAGTAATCCAATGTGTTCTGCATTGGACCCAGTAATCCAATGTGTTCTGCATTGGACCCAGTAATCCAATGTGTTCTGCATTGGACCCAGTAATCCAATGTGTTCTGCATTGGACCCAGTAATCCAATGTGTTCTGCATTGGACCCAGTAATCCAATGTGTTCTGCATTGGACCCAGTAATCCAATGTGTTCTGCATTGGACCCAGTAATCCAATGTGTTCTGCATTGGACCCAGTAATCCAATGTGTTCTGCATTGGACCCAGTAATCCAATGTGTTCTGCATTGGACCCAGTAATCCAATGTGTTCTGCATTGGACCCAGTAATCCAATGTGTTCTGCATTGGACCCAGTAATCCAATGTGTTCTGCATTGGACCCAGTAATCCAATGTGTTCTGCATTGGACCCAGTAATCCAATGTGTTCTGCATTGGACCCAGTAATCCAATGTGTTCTGCATTGGACCCAGTAATCCAATGTGTTCTGCATTGGACCCAGTAATCCAATGTGTTCTGCATTGGACCCAGTAATCCAATGTGTTCTGCATTGGACCCAGTAATCCAATGTGTTCTGCATTGGACCCAGTAATCCAATGTGTTCTGCATTGGACCCAGTAATCCAATGTGTTCTGCATTGGACCCAGTAATCCAATGTGTTCTGCATTGGACCCAGTAATCCAATGTGTTCTGCATTGGACCCAGTAATCCAATGTGTTCTGCATTGGACCCAGTAATCCAATGTGTTCTGCATTGGACCCAGTAATCCAATGTGTTCTGCATTGGACCCAGTAATCCAATGTGTTCTGCATTGGACCCAGTAATCCAATGTGTTCTGCATTGGACCCAGTAATCCAATGTGTTCTGCATTGGACCCAGTAATCCAATGTGTTCTGCATTGGACCCAGTAATCCAATGTGTTCTGCATTGGACCCAGTAATCCAATGTGTTCTGCATTGGACCCAGTAATCCAATGTGTTCTGCATTGGACCCAGTAATCCAATGTGTTCTGCATTGGACCCAGTAATCCAATGTGTTCTGCATTGGACCCAGTAATCCAATGTGTTCTGCATTGGACCCAGTAATCCAATGTGTTCTGCATTGGACCCAGTAATCCAATGTGTTCTGCATTGGACCCAGTAATCCAATGTGTTCTGCATTGGACCCAGTAAATGCTAGATCCATGGTGTTCTGCATTGGACCCAGTAATCCAATGTGTTCTGCATTGGACCCAGTAATCCAATGTGTTCTGCATTGGACCCAGTAATCCAATGTGTTCTGCATTGGATCCAGTAATCCAATGTGTTCTGCATTGAATCCAATGTGTTCTGCATTGGTTCCAATAATCCAATGTGTTCTGAATTGGATCCAATTATCCAATGTGTTCTGAATTGGATCCAATAATCCAATGTGTTCTGCATTGGATCCAATAATCCAATGTGTTCTGCATCGGATCCAATAATCCAATGTGTTCTGCTTCGGATCCAATAATCCAATGTGTTCTGCTTCGGATCCAATAATCCAATGTGTTCTGCATTGAATACAATAATCTAAGATGTTCTGAATTGGATCCAGTAATTCAATGTGTTCTATACTGGATTATTTACCAATATAAACATCAGCAAACCTGGCACTGGTGCACTGCTGAACAGATTCTGAGAAATGTTTGAAGCCAATGGAACAGTATACAAAGTGTTTGTGATTATCTTGTTTCCAGAGTAAAGAATTATACCTGCTGACTTTTAGAATGATCTACTTTGAATTGTCAACAATGTACTTTTTGAAGAAACAAATATAAAAGGTCTAGGCACATACACTGAGTGGCCAGATTATTATGACCAACGCATCAGTACTTCGTTGGGCCACGAGATGACTTCGTTGGGCCTCCTTGTGACTCCACGAGATGTTGAAAGGTGATGCGAGGAATCTGACACTGAACTGTTGCCCTTCTGTTGTCTTGTACCAGTCTTGCCACTCTCCGTTCTGCCCTAACATTGACTAGTCGCTGACGGCCACAATTCGCACGTTCAGACCCAGATTTTCGGCTGACAGTCCAGTCTTAAACACTGTAACAACAGCTGCTCTTGAACATTTAACGAATTCTGCTGTTTTGCTGATACTCGCTCCATGGCTTGAGCGCCAACAATCATCCCACGTTCAAAGGCTGTTAAATCGCGTTGTTTACCCATTACTTCAGAAAAAAATCACGTTTACCGTCGTGGTAAACAACCTGCTTCCCTATTTATAATGGTCTGGCCCGCTAGCAACTTCAGCACGAAATTATAGCTAATTATAGCTAATTTGTCTACAAATGTCAGGTGGTCATAATAAACTGGCCACTCAGTGTATATGTAAAATAGTAAATGTGACATTCACTAAACATTCTCTGCAGGTGAATCTAACTGCTGAATGCGATGTACAGTGTATGATTCACCACCAGTGAATGTTCGGTGACTGTCAAATCCACTGCATTATAAATATGTCTCAGAGTACGTCTATAACAACCTACTCACTACTGAATGTTCAGAGCTATGCTTCCACATGCTAGTAGCTGGTGTTTCTGAATTTCAGTGCACATGCCAAGAAGCCTACAGGAAGACCCCATATTCTATAGTTGGTCGTACACTATTGTAAATGCTCAATTCCTGCTTAGCATGGATGGGGGAATCCCTGCCAAGATACTTAGTCTGGCAGCCAGTGACCTCAACTGTCAGAATACCCAAAAAGCCATACATTTTCAGACCAGCTGCCTCGCAAAAGGGTCCCGAGGGGGCTACACACTGCTTGAAGCCAAGCCAGCAGGACTCAACTGAAATTCAAGCAACTTATGGTCAGCTTACGGCTATGGGCCAAAACATGGGTAGTATTGCTGAAATGATGGCTCACAGAATAGTGTACTCGAGCTTTGGGAAAGCCAGAGTGTTGGGGGTGGGGTGATCTGGGTTCAGACTTTTGTTTTTGTTATATATATTAATGTGCAGAGGAGAGTATGGGGTATCCTTATGGCCAAAAAGGTGCACTTACTCATAAACTAAGTGGATTGAAATGTAGAGCAAACAAAAAACATTTCTATTTTGAAGAAAAAACATCTTTTATTACAGCAATCTCTGTGCAAACTATAGTATGTCAAAATAAAGGCCTCCATAACAGAAAATCAGGATAGCCTTTCAATTACAAAAATGACAAAACCAGCATAAATAATAGAAACATATATTTATCAAATACAAATTTAACATCTTAAAGTTGTTTTTTTTAAAGACATACTATTTTGCTTTTTTTTAATGGCTTCTAAGACCTACGAAATTTGACATTGAGCATTGAGCAAGGAACAAGGCTTAGAGAAACAACGGACATGAATCATTCGGATCATGCAATTGCACAATACAAAATAAGATTGTAAGTGATCATCAGGTTTTGTACATGCAATCTTCCTGCTTTGCAATTAGTGCTAATATAAGCGATTTTGCATTTCAAGGCAGAATTGAGTTTGAATGACAGCAAGAACTGAGACTGTCATTAAATTATAAGTGCAACTGGATTTGTCAATGAAGACTCCCTGGTAAACTCTCAGAAGAAAATTACCATTACAAAAGTATGGTTTTAATTATTAGCATAGATGTTCTTCAAAATCTGCCATAACATTGCTCTGAAAAAACATGTCAATGGTTCCATCCATCTGGAAAGAAAAAGAAAACAAACAGTGTGAATATATGTGTACAGTGGAAATCATCTTTTTTCTTGGAGTGGTGTTCCCTTAAGGGAAATTCATCACCTATAAAATGGGCCTTGAGCATGCAGCAACTATTTAACTATACATATACAATAACATACTTGCATCAAGCCTGTCAGTGACCAGATGCCACAGTGTAACTTACAACTGCTTGTAGGTACACAACAGTAATGAGAGCTCCAGCTCTGTGTAGCTACTATGCTGCTTTCTTTACTTTTAAAATTCATGCTGCTACTGCAATGACATGTCTTACATGAGACAGATTCACTCTCCAGGCCAACCCAAAAACTACATGCTGTTAGAGGTTCGTTCAAATGTGTTCAAAATTGGTATCAGAACATTTGATCTTGGCATTATCAAATCAACTAATTTCTAAAGCCCTTAAGATTTCCTCCAGCCCTGTGACTTGAATGGAATCCCAGGTGTATTAAAACAGGTTTCCTTTATGCCTAGCATATCCACATTACAATATGTACAATTTCTCGCCCAAAAAATAACATTCACGGTTAGAATTTCATTTGTTCAGATAAGAAATGAGAAAAAATTTCCATTCTGTTTCTTAAATGTTTTTTCACTAGTGTGAAACATTAAATAAACATTCTAAAACAATACTTTTCTAACTAGTTTTCTAGTAGTTTAAGGCCAGTTTTATTGATTTCAGCTGGCTTTCTATGGACTCTGGAGCAACACTGACTTCAAGAAAGGCAAGTATTCCAGGCCTTCTCTACAATTCCTTATGGCAGTAGAGACCGTTACACAACTCTTGAGTTGTGCAGCTTACCTCAGGGCAGGACTCCAGCCCCTGCCAACAGAGACACCATTGACTGTGTGTGGTATAGGGGAGGGGCCTAAATACAGTCCAAATGAGCAGGTGAAACCCTGATTGGCCTACCGAGCAGACGGCACCGCCTACTCACCATGATAACCAATGAATGGACAGGCTCCTCTCCTCCTTAGGGCACAGACACCTATAAGGAAGGAGGGGAGGAGCCTGCCCATCAACTGGTTATCATGGCAAGTGGGCAGGACTGTCTCCCTTCCCTAAAGTCAGCTTGTGCTGGGTTTATGCCCCCTTGCTGACTTGAAGGGGCCCGGACCCAGTACGTGAGGGCTGCCTGTACCCCTCTATCAGCAGCCCTGGACACTTTATAAGTTACACTTTTCCTAGCTGTTGCTGAGGACTACAGAATCCCTCTCTTCTATGTTATGAAGAAGACAAGAGGAGAAAGGAGTTTAAAGTCCAAATTAGGAGAGCAGCCCAGGATGATAATGCTGCTCCTCCACAGATATAGTACGGTGAGTGAGCATTGTAACTGGGACAGGAAGAGTTTTACTGGAAGGCTCATCAAGTAAAAACTACACCCTGTCTCATTTCCTCTCCTACTATAGTAAAAAGAGCCGTTTAGTGAACCATGAGCCATTTAATAGATCCGGATCTCTTCAGTGAGCGATCCGTTGAGGAGCGCTCATGCAGATGAACCGTTTTGCCCATCTCTACTTCATGCATCTTCCTGCAAGTGATCTATGGTGTGGGCAGGGTATTTTCTATTATTCTCTATTAAAGAAGCAACACTGAACAGAGATGAGCCTCTACTGCCAGACAGACAGTAATGAGAAGATATAATCTTACTGGTTAAAGTGTATGAACGAAGAATTGATAATATTTTGACTAGGTAAATGCAGGGGCATACCACCAGAGAACTAATGTAAAATATCTGTCTATAACTTACCGTCTCTTTGCGACGTCTTTCCTGCTCTCTCTTCCTTGCAAGGTCTCGTTCCTCCTTAACATGCTCATTGAGGATAATCTCAACTGGTTGTGCCTCTTTAACTATCTCTTGTATAACTAAGCATTGCACATCAAGAGTCTTGGTTTCTGGTGTTGTAATGACAATTTTCTCTGTAGCCTTCTCTTCTCTGTAAAAAAACAAAAACTGGTTTTACCCACTATTCATTTAATGTCTCTAAAACTGTAGGGGAACACAACTGATGGGCAATTTCAATTCTCTAGAGCAGTGGTGGTCAAATTTCAGGATATAGAGCCAAGGGGTCATAATCAGTGAATGTAATGCTACAAAAAGCTGTCAGAGACAGACATTCAATACGAGATGGTTAGAGTCTACAGAAATACAAAAATAAATGATTGGAGACTTAAGGTAAGCAAAGACATTGTCAGAGACTCCAGACCTGCTACAAAAGATGTAGTGCTTCATGGGACTGCCTCATGGGATTTGTAATTTCCCTTTACAAATCAGTGATTCCACATTTGTGCTCCCTACAGCCTCCTTAAAAATATTAGAATTTTTCTCTCCTATCCCATGAGGCATTGCAAGACTGACAGCCACAGACATGACTCCAAGATTTAGATGCATCATGGGATATGTAGTTTAACCACAACTGAGAGACCACAGCTTGTCTACCCCTGGACTATGATCTGCAAGAGTCCCCAAAGGCCATAAAAAGTGCCAAAGGGCTGCAGGGTGGGCACCAGGGCTATACAGCCTAGAAGAAAGAACTCTGGTATAGAAATTGTCTGTCTCCCTCAAACAGCTTTACTTTCATCTAACTTAACTTCCAATCCTGAGGAAATCTTGGGTTACATCTGCCATTCAACACTTTATAAACAGATTTCTAAATATTTGGGTACTGAACATGTCAGCATTATCGTCTTTGTAATAGAATATGCATCTAGTGACTATTCAGAGAAAATAAACTATGGGCAACTTATTATAGGCTCATGTATGATCAGTTGTCTGCATACCCATAAGACTTATAAGGAATCAAATACTCTAGTTCAGGAATTGGAATTGATTTCAATTTAACTGTACACTCAGGCATGTGAGGCACTAATAACCAGGCTGGAGGGACACTATATCAAACCATGTGATAAACTGTGATCAAGATCAAATGCTAAAAAGGCACAACTTGGTACGTATCTCTCCTTGTGAAACATGGGCTCTCTGTTCTCAGGAGCAAAATAGTTGTGATGAACAGCAGATGTATACATGTTAAGTATTGTATATTGGATGGCTTTAGTCAGTTGACTGCAGGAGAGCCTTCTGAAATGATGAGGGCCAGTTTACTACAAGAACATGCTTTTACTAACATATAATATTTAATGTCTTGTTAGAAAACCAGGGTTTATTCCACTATATTGAGGTTATTGATTGTTTTGGTATTTTGGCAAAACTCAGGCCTTCAATCATGCAATTTATCGTACAGTTACAGTTTGTACTAAACTGTCGATAAACAGTAGAGTATGCATGTTAATACGAGAAAAATATAAACAGGGCAATGTAAAAAAAATAAAATGAATACCATCATTAGAAGTATTAATGCATAAATCAAAATATAGTATTTTTAACTAATAATGATATGGAGACAGGTCTAAGAAGCATGGAGACTTCTACAGAAAAAAACAAGCTTCAACACAACTAAAGCAAAACTTGAAATGTTCCCTCTAAAACATAGAATACTTGCATTTTCTGAGCTTTGAGTGCTTTCTCCTTCTCTTCTTTGGCTATTGCAGCCTTCCTAAATTGCTGGAAGCTGTCACTTGATGATTTGATGGTCACAGGAATAGTGCTCAGTGCTTTGGAGTAACTGGCCCAACTGGAGTTAGCAACCTTACAGGTCTAGAGAAAAATGATTTATAAATATTAATAAGTAGGTGTTATTTCAGGGTTTACTTTACATATAAACATATACATAGTGCTCCCTATCCAATATACATTATATGCTCCACTGCTTCCCTCAGATGTGTGGTCTACTTGCAGGCTTTCAAGTAGACAGCTCCTCTATCACAGCCCATGGAATAACTTGGCATAAGCCTTCTAAGCCAGAGCAGGACATGACCACTTAAGATGAACACCAGCTCATCTGTAGTGAGAAGCGGGACACACATATGGGATAGGGACACAGAAGAGGGCAGTCAGCCCCAACTTGTTTTATAGGTAGGTACAAGGCATGGATTGCTTTATTTTCTTTATTAGCCTTTATTTACAAGACGATTGTAGTTGCAGAAACAATTTACCAGACCATTTGCTATAATCAGGACAGGCAGTTCTTCTTTCAACCACTTTAATCATAGAGCATTATGTTAATTTAGCTCCTCGTTTCTCAACCTTTTTTAGTCAAGCCATCCTTTAAAAGTATGCAAAATCTCAAGGCACCTCAGTCTAAAATATCAAAGGGGGGCCAACACAAAAAGTGGGTTTCCCCTTCACATCGAACTGCCCCATTCACAATCAAGATTCCCCCCCACATCAGAGTGACCTTTTGCATCAGTAGCCCCCACTTTCATATCAGTTTTTCCTCTCTTTCACATCAGAGTTCCTCTTTTACATAAGCAACCCCTTCACATCACAATCCCACTTCCAGAACATTTTGAGGCACCCCTGAGGAGGCTAGGGGGCACACTAGTGTGCCTTGGCACTCTGGTTGAGGGAGGCTGGTTCAGCCATATTTCACTATTGAAACTTTGGTGGTACGTAAAAATACGTCCAGGATCTAGAGTGGACAGGAAAATGGAGAACCATGGGTCCCATACGGTATGGAATCTCCAACTCGTGTCCAACAGTATGCTGGAGAGATGTTCGTTGACAAAGAATCCTTGTATACATTGTTGGAATTCAGGATATGGAATTGCCTGTTTTTCCCATGAGTGAGCTATAGTCTGTTTAGCTGCTAAAAATATGAAATTGGCCAATTGCCATTGGGGCCGTTTTGAGTTGTGGGATTTTCACATGAAGTAAGGCCTGCCAGGGGTCTTTTGGTATTGAGATATTGAAGATTGAGTAAAGGTGTCTGAAGAATTTTAGAACAAAATCTGGCTACAAATGGGCACGTCCACCAGATGTGCATAACATCGCCTAGGGCTTGACATCCCCTGAAGCAGGTGTTGGAGCTGGACGGGTGGAGGTGACAGAGGCGAGAGGGCACGAGGTACCACTGGAGAGCACCTTATAGGCCGCCTCCTGGGTGGTGATGTTTCGGGAGCACCTGGAGATCGCATCCCAAATTGACCCCCACTCCTCAGGGGGCCTCGCATGGTGGAGATCCTGCTGCCAATTTGTGACATACCGGTGAGTGGCGGTGGAGGAGAGGGTGTTGAGCTGGAAGTATAGGAGGGAGAGGAGGTTCGAGGAGCTGGGAGCACGGAGGCATATACGTTTGAAGGATGAAAGGGTTAGGGGAGCAGAGGGATTATGAAGTAGGGATTGAATCCAATGCCCGATTTGGATGTATCGGAATATTTCCCGAGAGGGCGGTTGAGCTTTGGTCACTATGGCATCCCATTGGAGCAATCTAGAGTCCTGTAGAAAACTGAAAAGAGTGGTGAAGCCATGTGTGTGCCACCAAGTAAAGGCCGATGGACTGTCCATTGCCGGGGGGAACATATGGTTCCCTAGGAAAGTAGTTAGGGGTAGGTGTGGGGATATGAAGGGGACTGCATACTTAGTGGAATGCCATATCTGTAGGGTATGGGTAAGGATCGGGCTAAGGGACGATGGGCAGGGGGGGGCGCCAGGAAATGGAGGGGAGGGAGCATGGATGTACGTAGGGGATCTCTAGCAAGGTCCAGAGGGGTGGGTCAACCAGGATGTGGGTCAACCAGGATGTGGAGGGTGGCAATGGGCGCAATCTGCGCGGCCTGATAATACTTCTTAAGGTCAGGGACCCCTAACCCCCCCTGGCGGCGATGGCAGTACATCGTTTTCCGGGCTACCCTGGGGCGTTTATCATGCCATATAAAGGACATAATGTGGTTTTGCATTGATCTGAGGGCAAAATTGGGGATTGCTACCGGTATGGTGCAGAATAAATATAGTAGTTTTGGGAGTAGGGTCATTTTGACCGCATGTATGCGGCCCAGCCAAGAGATGGGTAAGCTATTCCAGGAAGTTAAGAGGTTTTTAAGGGAGCGGAAAAGGGGTATGTAATTCACCGCGTACAACGAATCATAGGACGGGGACAAAGTATGCCTAGGTACGCAAGAGAAAGCTGGGCCCATGCAAAGGTAAAGTTTTTCTTAAGGAGATCTACATCTGGAGAAGGAAGTGAGACGTTTAGGGCCAGGGATTTAGATTGGTTAACTACCAGGCTAGACAGATTCCCAAAGGCCTCCAAGGTGCTAAAAAGAGATGGTAGGGATATCAAGTGGTGGGTCAGGGAAAGAAGAATATCGTCGGCAAACAAACTAATTTTAGAGGACGTCCACTCCTCTGATGGAGGGGTTTTTGCAGATCAGCATGGCCAGGGGCTCAATAGCCAGGATGAACAAAATGGGGGAGAGGGGGCATCCCTGCCTCGTGCCCCGGGAGATTGAGAAGGTGTCTGAGAAATGTCCCACATACATGACTTTAGCGGAGGGGTTCCGATATAAAGTCGTGAGCCACGTGCGGAAGGAGGGCCCAAAGCCCCATTTTGCCAGGGCATAATGTAGATAGTCCCCAGGATAGTGTGTCAAATGCTTTGTGAATATCTAAGGATAAAAAAAACCCTGGGATGGATCTCTGTTTCATGAGATATATTAAATGCACCACCTTCCGCACATTGTCCCCGGCCTGTCGGAGGGGCGTGAACCCCACCTGGTCCCTGTGAATCAAAGAGCACAAGGTTTTGTTCACCCTGTTCGCCAGGATCTTCCCCAACAGCTTAACATCTGTATTCAATAATGATGTGGGACGATAATTGGCCATATCTAAGTCGTCCTTACCCGGTTTGGGTAGCATGGAGATATTGGCGGAGAGGGAGGATGGATGTAGGGGGGAACCAGATTTCTTGACATTGAAAAGACGAGCTAGGTGGTGGGCCAGGATAGCTTTAAATTTTTTATAGCAAAGTTTAAACAAACCGTTCGGGCCCGGAGACTTTGCAGGTTTGAGATTGGTAATTGAAGCCAAGACTTCAGCTTCGGAGATATCCGAGTCCAAGGCGTCTCAGCATGAGGAGGGGAAAGAAGGGAAGTGGAGGTTGTTAAAGAGCCA